TTTTATCGGTGATGCAAGTGAATGTCGGGACCGCCATACAGCACATAGTACCAGTGCGTTGGTGGTGATGCCGATTTCCATCTCCGTTTCCATGAGCCGATACTCCATGTACACCTAAACCTATACGTAAGTAACGGTCCGTGTATTTGTAGACGAGGAGGATGCCGCGCAGCCCCCGCATGTTGCGCAAGGCCCAAGGGGTGTCGTCGCGAGTGCTTCGGCGATTCCTTCGGGACGGCAACCACCCGTTCCATACGCGCATGACGGGTCGCGACCCGAAAGAGCTGCACCGCACGTCGACGTCGCTCGAGAAGCTCTACGATCTCACGCTCGTCGTCGCGTTATCGTCGGTCTCGAACGTCTTTGCCACGTCGATGCAATATGGCGACAAGATTGCATTCAACTGCATGCAATTTGTCATGCTTTTCTTCACAATCTGGAACGCGTGGCTGCCGTTCATTTGGTTCTCGTCGACGTACGATGTCGACGACGTCCTCTACCGCGTCGGGACGCTCGGGCAAATGATTGGTATCCTTGTCATTTCCGACGGCATCCACAACAACCTCTCAGAAGTCTTTATCGGGTATGTCATTCTCCGCCTCTTTCTCGAAGTCTTTTTGCGCGGTCGCGCCGCGTACGAAGATCCACGCTGCCGCATCGTGAATCTCCGCTCGTCAATTGCGAGTCTCTTGCTGCTCGTGGGGTGGGGCTTTCTCTTCCATACCCCGATGCCAGAAGCTTGGTTCTACATTGGGTACATGAGCTTGGCGACCCTCGAGTTTGTGGTCCCAGGGATCGTCGCCAAGGTGTCGGGCGGCGCACCGGCCTTCCACGCCCATCACGTTTCGGAGCGCTATGCAGAGTTTACGATCATTGTGTTTGGTGAGTGCCTCCTCTCGCTCTCGCACGCGTCGGTCATCGAGTCGACGTCCTTTCACTACTCGGCCTTTGCGATCCTTGTCGCGTCCATGGTGCTGCTCTTCCTTCTCTGGTGGTTCTACTTTGCGATTCCGTTTGGCCACAAAATGGAGTTGCATCCAGCGACAAGCGGGCGCATTGGCCGCGGCCACTTTTTTATTCACGGCTCTCTCGCAGCTTTTGCCACCGGCCTCTTTATGGTCGCGCGATGTGTGAGCGCGGGGAGCGACCATGGCGACGAGACAGTCGCCCCCATGTCGACGCAGGCAGCATCGATGATGGTTGCCGTGCCTGTCGCTGTCTTTGTCGTCACCGTGCCGCTTGTCTTTGGGTTGGGAAAAGCCGACGTGGCGCGGTCGGTGCTGGTTGCTGCGATCGAAGTCGTCCTCGGGTGGTTTCTGACGCCAATTTTGCGCTTGGAGCTCATGATGTTGCTGTACATTCTGCCGATGCTTGGGCTTCTCGTGCACGTCATCGCCCACGGACACCATCATAGCAAGCCGCCTCTCGAGACAAAGGAAGCGCACGCCGTCCAGCCGCTACCGACGAGCGCGCTCGCAAGTC